CTCAGCAACAGGTTCCAGGCCTTTCATGATCTACTCAATGGAAAGAGAACTACTATGGAGAGTAACTGGAAGAGGACAACAGATGCAATCATTTCAACATGTCAGGAGGTTCTGAGCCACAAGAAGCACCATCACAAGGAATGGGTTACTGTCGGTACACTGGATAAGATTGAAGAAGGGAGGAACAAGAAAGTATCAATCAATAACTTAAAAAGCCAAGGCACAAGCCGAATACACAGAAGTAAACAAGTAAGTGAAGAGGAGTATCAGAACTGACAAACGTAAATATGTGGTAGATTTAGCAATGACAGAGGAAAGGGTTGCAAGAGAAGGAAACATGACAATTGTATGATACAACAAAGAAACTCGCTGGAAATTACCGTAAGCCAGAACGACCAGTGAAAATCAAGGAAGGCAACATTGAAGAACAACGGAACAGTTGCGTAGAACACTTCAAAAAACTCTTGAATCAACCAGCTCCATTGAACCCACCTAACATCGAAGCAGCACCCACGGACCTCCTAATCAATGTTGGCCCACCAACAATTGAAGAGATCAGCATGGCCATTAGACAAATCAAGATACTCTACGTTCTCTTCAGTAAGATTTAAGATGACGAACAAGTACTAACAGACTGGAAAGAAGGACTTCTGATCAAAATCCCAATGAAAGGTGATCTCAGAAAGTGTGATAAATACGGGGGCATCACTCTTCTCTCAATACCAGGAAATGTCTTCAATAGGGTATTGTTAAAGAGAATGAGGGACTCCGTAGACCAGTAATTTAAGCGATCTCAGATAATTTTACGACATGATTTATACATAAAATAAGAAAGACGGGCTCAGAAAAGCGTTTTCTTTCGGGGAAATCTGTTTTCAATGCTATACTTACTTACTTATACCCTGTAAACCTTGTAGAGGAGGAGAGGCCGCCCATAAGGATACTTCATAGAACTCTGTCCTGGACAATCCTTTCAAGTTGTTTGCAGTTGCCATTCATTCTTTTGATGAATGCCTCCAATTCCTGACACAATATATTCCATGGCCTCTCTCTTTTCCTTTTGCCTTCAGGATTCCAAGTTACGGCGTGCCTCCAGTGTAGTTTGATCATTTTCTCAACGTATGTCCTATCCAGTTCTAGCATCTTTGGAAATTCAATTGTCGTATACCATTTTTGCTGTTTGGACATTCTAGTTGTCTCCTGTGGTCTATGCGAAATATATTATTGCATAAATATTCATGTATAGACCCTTGACGTCATGCTGTCTGACGGTAAATGGAATAGCTATCATCAGAATGGGGTTTGTGGAGATTGTAGTAATTTAGTAGTTGAATTCATAAGTCCATTTAAGCTAGACCACTATAGAAAACTTGAAAACACTGGATGGCCATCTCGTTTTAGTACGTGAATGCCCATCAGTGTGCATCTACGATCCCGCAGCCGCGAATGCTTAAGCTGTAAACCACTGAGCCGGCATCCAACGATGCTAATGTCCAACTTCAAACACTTCATGATACTGCGCGACCGTTCAACTATATTGTGATCTTTAAGCAACATAAAATAATTCTGAACATTTTGAGTTAAGCGTCAAGTTCAGTGGTGTGATATCTACCAGTGACAATTCTCCCTGAGACTAAACGGCTTAGTGCGTACATATATCGAAACCGGCAGTTTAAGTTTTTAAAGTTTACATAATAAGCTACTCAACCTAAATGATCGTCATCCTCTAGCATACTAGAAATAAAGCGCACATTTTCACCTTCACATTGTATTTCCCACTTGAAAGAACTCTAAATTTAATTGGTTCATTCCCTTTTTTAATTTGTTATTTTGTAACATTTCCCAAGGACATTTTTATGCTGTATATATACTATGAGTTGTGTGTTTATGGTTGTTCATACCTCTGGGTGCTTGTGAAATATACTTTTCCTTCATCTGAACCAAGTCTTCTCCCTCAGGTTAGTAGGACTAGGACACATCGGAATAGTTTCTCTTGTCTTCTCGTTGTGTCACTGAATCTTCCTTAGTTTGCCAATTTTAGATGATCTCATAATCTCTTCAAACATAGCAATCTATTATAAAGTTTACTTTAATTTTCATCATTATCCATACTAGACAGATTCTTTTTTATGATGAAATATTTACTTCGATATTAGTTTGAGGCTAAATTGAATCAATTTAATGATCTTATTTTTATCTTTTATAGTAGTAAAATGTATAGAAGGTTTATTATTAAGTGTATAAAGCTAATAAAAATTCCATTTTATTATTATCCAATTCTCTTCTGTTATTATTTCAGTAATAGTAAAAGTGTTTTAATAATTCTAAAAAAGAATTTACGCTAGTTTTTTCTCTTTTCTAAGGTAGTGTATTTCTGTTGTAAAATAATATTTTACACGTATCAAATTACTAATGATTAGATGTTTTTTATGTCTATTGATTTTTGAATGAAGTACCAAAAATTGGGCATCATTACTATGAAAATTACTTGATTCTTTTAATAGATAAGAAAAGATTATTAACTACCAGAGGTCTGTAGAGTTTGATCAGACAGTGTATCTTACAACACTATTGCCTATTATCAATATATATAGAATAAGTATCAACACATTATCAGTAAGCAAGATTAAAGACTCACGCTTTCAACTGTGAAAATACTAAATCTCCACAAAAACCCCTTCTGATAATAATAATCATATGCTCACTAGTGAATGACTTCGAGATGTAAATTCAGGAGTTCTAGTGAGAAGCAGTGACTAGTGGAGATAAAACCATATCTGTTGTGAGATAGGAATTCACTGAAGACAATTGGTGAACGGTTGCTCAACTTCGTGGATTGGTTGGAGTTAGACATAAACACCATCGTATGCTGGCTCGGTGGTCTATCGGTCAAGTGTTCTGGCGCGAGACTGGTAGGTCCTAGTTTCGAATCTCGCGAGGCGAGGTCGTGGATGCGCGCTGCTTAGGAGTTCCACAATAGGACGAGTTGACTGTCCAGTAATTCTAAGTTTTCCCTGGTGTTCTAGCTTCAAATGACTCATGCTTTCAACTATGAAAATATTAAATCTCCAAAAAACCCCTTCTGATAAGATTAAAATTACTTGATATCTTTACATCTGAATATACTAACTTTAGTTTGTTTAGCTCATCACAAGAACTACACATGCATAAAACTCTTGCTATCTAGAAAAGCAAAAATAGCTATACTGTTAATAGGTAACTTTCATGACAAGTTGATACTAGCTGAAACACCACTAAAAATCAGTACTTCACGATTACGACGAATACACTACTAAGGTATGTCAAACTAGATTGAAGTAGCTGACTTATAGTCATTGATTTTCAGCTGATGTAGGTTGATAATAGAAACTATCATCAACTCTTTTTACCAAAACACTATATCACCTTCAGAACAAATCATTTTATCAGTGGTTCTTAGATATCTGATGGATACTCTGTTATAACTATTCCTCACAAGACAACAAAATAGCTTCGTACTACTAGATTTTTTATTTGCTCAGAACTAAGCAATTATCACAGTCCGGAAACCTAAAACTTTTTACATGCTACGGTCCCATAACTACAATAAATCCACTACAATTTCAACAAAAATCGAAACTATGTGATCACATTGACATCCTTCTACTTGGCAATAATGAAGTGAATTAAGATCAAATGAGTAAAAGATATTCTTAAGTCTAATCTACTATATCAATCGCTACATCCAATAATTTCATGATAATTTATGGTGTTCTTTACTTACTGGAATATATGTAAAATACATTTTCTAGTCCGGCGGTTGGTCTTTATCTAATCAGCGGATAAAATTCTGAACGCGAAAACACTTAATGAAATGATTCTCTTTCAAATTGCTTATTCCAAAAACGCAACAGGAATATTTCATTTTTTTAGAATCAAATATCAGACGTAAAAAATATACAGTTGGTCAATTTTACACACTTAAATACAAGTGAGATCATGAACCTACTAATACTAGTACACCTAGAAGCACTGGAAGGGCGTTTGATCCCAGTACTGGACTTCTCAGCAGTGAACACCCAAGATCCCGCGCATGGGACTTACACTTTAGTGATTGACTCTATTATGAAATAAATGTTCGTATAGAAATCAATTAGTAGCATAATCTTTTACTCTCTTTTAATGATTATTTAGCCGAATAACATACGGAGCATACCACAATGAACAAAGTGTAGATATACATGAACACAACCTGTATTTTAAAAAAATATGATATACTACCAATCACATCAATGTATACAGACGACTGAAGACAAATTTTGTTAGAAAAATGTCAAAATTCTGAACTGAAGAAATTCTAAGAATATCAGAGAATTTCTAGAAGGATGGTACACAGGTCAGTGTGTAAGGAAGGGACGCATTGATTCAGGTCAACTGAAGAAAACAGCCATCGGTAACAAAAGGGTAAACGGCGACAATAATACCTGAGAAAATTGATATGGTGGCCAAATGCTCAATCAATCGGACTGAGAATGACACATAGAATTGAATTTCACCGATTGTTTGTGATATTTAATCACATCTTTCGTAGTCATTATGTGACCTAGTCAACTAGTTATACTCGTTGGCTATAGATAGTTAACTGCATAATATTGTAAATGTGTTGAAATAGTATGTTATTGTTTAACTGATATTAAATATTACTGAGTTCAATTTATACAAATCTCACCGGGAGTAAATCGCATAAAGTGGTGTATTCAAACATTACTTTGACTTCTTTCCAGAGTCAAAGAAATTCTTATCACCAATCTTTGTTTTCCTACCATGTGTCATGGGATTTAGGGTTTCGGTATCAGACACACGTCAGATATGAATTCTGTAGACATAACCAGGTCATCAGAACAGAAGAACTTAACGATTGTGGAATAAATAATCTGGAAGCTCACTTCTAAATAAGGTAAACACTGGTAATGTTTTAAAAAACAACAACCTTACAATAAAACCATTCAGCTAAGGGAACGTAACGCTCGAAATATCACAACTATATTGAATTGCAATTTGAAAGTATCACAATAGAAACAATAATAACTATTATTATTCCTATCACAGATAATAATAATAATGATAAAATATCAAACTGTATAAGAATAGATCGATAAGTATAAGTTTAAGAGAAAAATATGAACTAAACGTATATCGGAAAGATGAACTAAGAAAATTTTTCGAAATGAAGCTGGAACATCATACTGTCCAGTTTATTAGAAAGTTTCAGATCTATATATGGTAATTAAATTAATCATGATTGTTGCATCAATGCTCATTTTTTAAATAAATAAAATAAATTTGGGCTAATTACACATTGTGCGTAAAAAATAATATGTACAATGGTAAAAAAATAATTAAAAAAAATACATTACAAAATATCACATAAATGAAATAATTGAAAATAGTAAACGAGAGAGGGGAGAGGGGGACTGATTTACACAGATACATTTTGAAGATATATCCTTCTATCATTAATATTTAGTAATTTTAAAAAAAATCCATGAGAATATTCCCATCAAAGAAATGATATAACCAACAAAAAAAAGACTCGATGGAACGAAAGAGATTAACGATAGTTGTACCCACACAAAAAAAACAACATTCAATTGAATATCTTCTTTTAAAAAAATCTCATTTTATGTGTACAGAAACAGGTTATACAAATAAAGAGAATCAATAACAAATAAATATTCACAGCCCTATATAGACATAATGTATTCGAATTTAATATACAACAAGAATATATGACAAAATTAAAGAAATATATATCTTTATCCATCCTTGAATTTTGACTAGGTGACATATACAAATTAAATTTTTCATTAAATGTATTTTCCTAAAAATTGTGCTGTTGTAATCATATAAGAATTAACATCAATTGATCGAATAAAATCTGATACTAGTAAATCATTGTAATCTGCACGTTCACCAACTTCTTTAATAAGGCACATATTTAAAAAATCTCGTAAATGATTGGAATATGGTAGATCACTTGAAAGACTTGGAGGATCACGATTTACAATCTAAGAAATAAAAGTTAAAATATCAAGAAATTTAAATGTGTGTTCATGTAGGAAAAATCTAATTGTCTATTATGTGAGGATATTTTACTATTTAGTTTACAAAATGTTTCTACACATACATTCAGTGAACTGTTAAATACTAAGAAATATGGTTGTAAAAGTACAAATATCTAATAAAGTATGTGTAGTTTAAACTGATATTCGAAAAAAAGATAATGAAAATAGAGCCTACAACAGATTTGCATTGGACCAAGTTGCCATAACACATTAGGACGAGATGAAAATAACAAAAATGATGGATATGAAGTAATAGTAATGACAAAAAGAAAAGCTAAATCTTTGGAATATGGTTTGAAAAGAAAGAATGGAAAGGTATGTATGAGGGGATACTAAAATCCGAAATCGCAAGAAACATAAAATGCATCTGCACTATTTTGAATGATTCTAAGCCATATTACCCAAAATCATCAACCCTTAATCGTAGCTATCAAGCTGACCCCAACTAGATAGTCTGCATCTATCAGCAAGGCTCAGAAAAAAGGTTAATGATTTCATGAACTGATGCCACTTTCTGGTTTGGTTGCCCGTAGTTTTTATCTAACGTACTTCTGAATCAACAAGCATTACCGATCGAGGTAGGCGGTGGTTGAGCATATGTAACACATATTCTAACAACCTAAGTAAGTGAATTCACATGACCAACCGATTTGTTATCCTTGTCAAGTAACCTGTGTCTAATCTGATTGTTGTCCACTTAATGGTTTAAACATATGCTTGCAATGCTTTGAAGGTATCGGAGATTGAACACTAGCAATCAAAAGAATACCTAAATGGTGACGTGTTGATAGAAGCCATCCCAATTTGCTGATTTAGTGCTGAGATTTCGCCAGGCACCAACTCCGAAGTGTTGATGAGGCCTTCAATTTAGGTAAAATGGCCAATACTCTAGACTACTTTACTGACTATCACCCGTGGCAAGCTAATTAGTCGGCAATCCAAACCAATACCAACAAGGAATATCACTTAAATCGGGCGTCGGTAAATATGTCCACGTTTCAAAACCTGATGAAGACAATGTTTCATCTACACATACTGGTCTAAATCTAAAACCAGACTATTTTTCCCCTGGTTTGTTCTTTCTGATCCCTAGATAAGCGCGGAAGGATTGCTGAGATTATGATTTTAAATATTATATTAGTCAATTTTATTCCGCTGTGGTTATCACAAAAAACTTTTGTCCCTCTTCATAGACTTGGACAATAAGATATCGAAAGCGGTCAGATGAGATTACATCAAGTTCACAGACTGGGTGTTTATTTATTTATTTGAACACACAAACATCAGTACAAGAGGGCACCAAATACATATGCACCACACAATAAAAATGAGGCTAGTAGTAGTTATCATTGATTTGTAATGAGAGCTGGAATACTGTTCTGGTGCCTAAATCGAAGCAGATGGTTTTCGTAGAAGGTCACTCTTCGAGCCTTTGATCTGAAGGTCTTATTCACAAGGCAGTGGAACAACTTTAGGAGATGCAGTCTCATGGTAACCGGTGACCAACGATAGGTTAATACGCCTTTTGTTTCCTTGGGACTAAGTGACGTTCTAGTTAACTGAACCGCTAATACTAGACCATGATCGGTAGAGATCTCTGGGCTTTACCCATCAAGGTCCTATGCTCTTCTTGATCTTAAATTACCTTCAATCTTTTTAACCTCACTAGGATTCCAAGAACCTGTGTAAAATTGCCATTGAGGCTGACTGGAGATACAGAGTAATTGAAAGGTGGTCGGAGATTAGTTGAACTGTTCTTCTAAGTGTTCTCCACTACTAACTAATCCACTAGATTGAAATAGATTCATCCTTTTCCGAGATAGTTCCACTAAGACTTGGCTTTGTAATATCTTTTTCCTTAATTAGTCTGTAGAATTGTCTAGTATCGTTTATATTCGTTGCCTGTTTTAACTCTTTCGCTCACGTTAATTCAAACCGATAAATGAAAAAAAAATTCATGTTAATGTATTTCGTGAAATATTACAAACATTTTCAAAGTAGTCAAGAAGCATAAATTAACTAGTGCATCAAAGATAATTCATATGGATAATAATTGGATTTTTTTACATAAAATTGAATAATTATACAAGTTTACTAAGTACATTGTAACAGCGCAGTACTACATTTAAACAAGTTCTAGAAGAAAATTATTCAACTTTCGTTATTAGTGATTTGCATAATACTGACAGAAATACTCATAGAGTAAACATTCCATTAAAACAATATGCTATTCTATTTAATGTCAATGATAGATTTTTTTTTACAGAAATGTAATATTCAAGAAAACTTTGTAAGCGTTTAAAACACATTTAGATAACTGATAATATCTATCTGTTAAAAATATTTTATAAAACAACATATTTAAATAGATGAACTAATTAGTGCATTATAGTGCTAAACTTAGCAATTTGGATTATACACTTGCATATAATAATTATGGTTCATTGTATATGATTTGTTAATTCACAAATAATTAATTATCCCTTTACAATGACTGAATTCATAATAATTTCTTATTTTTGAAGTATTTTAATTGTTTAAGTTCAATATGATGGTTACGACTACACTTATAGTAATAGTGATGATCTTGAATCCGTCCATTTTAAACTTCTCAAAATCATTAGAACAACAAAAACACATTAGCAAGCTATAAATATAGTTATGTTTGTTTGATTATTGAGAACGTAAAAATTACTAGTGAATCAATCATGAGATTTAGACAATACATTAATGGTAGCAACACATGATTATGCGGTGTTGTTCATTTACTAACTTGAAGTAAAAATTTTCAAGAAAATTTACAAGTCAATTCGCGCTTATATATATATATAATTCTACAAAGCCTCGTGATTTATAATTAATTGCAGTGATACAATAAAACAGTTGGCAGAACAAAATATGCTGAGATGAACCATTTATAACACATTAGGTAAATAGTATCTTTCTGTGTATTACCATTTAAAGAAATATAAACTTATACTACAATCCAAGGCAGGTTTTTTGTACGTTCTGATCTTTTTGAAAGTAGTAACTAATCAAAGACAAGTTGTATTATTATAAAGATTATAAGTGATTCATTGTATGCTCTGTTATACACAAGTTATGATTTGTGCAACTTCATTAATGGGATAATTAGGATTTTATTTTTTCCATGGTGGATTCGAAAAAAGTAACAATGTGAAGATTTCAAAGTATTTCGAAGATGCATCGAGAATATTGTGAGTAGGACGAACATTATTTACATATATATATGAATTACCTGATTGAATGCATCTACAGGATCTTTAGGCGGTTCATATGGGTTTGTACCAGTAGCCAATTCATAAATGCTTAGGCCTAAAGACCAAATATCAGATTTAACCCCGTAACTTTTTACAGGACCACAGCTTACACGCTCTGGAGCAAGGTAACGCCATGATCCAACATCCGTTAAAATTTCACAGTTGGAAAGAGTGACGGCAGTACCAAAGTCTCCTAACTATAAAGTAAAAGTTAAAAAAAAATTAGGATGTAAAAGATACTTTAGAAAACTACGAAAATACTTTGAAGTATTTTCACAACAATATAGTGGAAATGAATGCTATAGAAGTTACGTAGAACTTAACAAGTCATGATCAATAGGTAAAAATCTGTGGTAAACTGATTATATATATAGTAATTAATCACAGCAATGTAATACCGTGACAATAAAGATTTCAAGTCTAGCACCATGGTTGCAAGACAATATCCACAAAATCTAGTCAAACATTATATTACTGAGTAAGCAAAACAAGATATTCTGACAGCAGATCATTTTACCGTATATAATTTTAAGAGTAGATATAGTTTATAATATTAAAATAGCAGTAGTGAAGAAAATTCCAAAGACGACTATCTAAACTACTATCTTACTCCAGTCTTAATATAGTAATGAAATTTTTTTTAAATCGTTGTGAAATCAAGTGATATTAACAAATGTAACACACCAAATAGAAATATGTGTTATCGAATAAAATTAAGTCAGTATTGTTAAGGTTAGAAGTGAAAAACTATTGCCACTCATACTTCAGCCTACATTAAAGTAGCCTAATAATGTAAACCAGTTTGCTTACAAATGTGAAATAGAGGCCTCGATGGTACAGTTGTTCCAAAATACTATATAGTGCTCAGTTTTGATAAGGGTGATAAGCGTGTTTGATGAGCACGTCTAGAATAAGCCTCAGACTTTTAAGCCTGTTCCAAGACCACTATAATTAAGAAAGTTTATAAATGATAAAACTGATAGTGAGACAACAAATTGATTGTGTTCTTAATTTTCTGGAAGAGGATAGTATACTGTAGATGGAGGAAAAAATTCTACTTTATTGTTAACCAAAGCAATTATATGACAAGATGTTCTTCCCTTATTTTTTAAATGATCTACAATCTCCTACAAAGTCTCTTTTGTTGAGTGTGAGAATGGTCTTACTCCATGTAGGCCAGTTCCCACCAAGTTGTTCTTTTTCTATAAACTGAGGTGATTGAAATACATAATATGTGGCCTACTTATTATCCCTTACCACAATATTAACTGAATAAGATTAAAGCACAGAAATACTGGCAAACATTATCATTGTTAATCTGCACTAGATGGGAAATCGTTGACTTGTAGTACATCTCATCAAGAGAACGATATATAATCACCTTCGAAATATCCAATGAGGTATGAATATACTTTAAACAATTCAATTGAATTTATCTTACCATCTTATTATGCCCCCAAATGCCCTGGTACGGCCGAGAGTGGGGAGATCAGCTCTCCCTCTCAAAATACTCTCACATGGCCACACGAATATATAGCCTATGCCAGGGAAGTCCTACTGACTGCCTTCTCGTGGCACTACTGATATTTACGAAACTGAGAGGACGAAAAGCGAATGTCCAGCGCCTTAACCGGGTTGGTGGACACGGAGGGTCCACCTAGGGGAGTTGGAAAACCCTGATTCCAAACCAACGGTGTACATGAGTTCCAGTATCCTGAAGGAACAAATGGCGTATGAATCAATCGTTGGTCACCGGTTACCATGGGACTGCATCTCCTCACGATGCTCCACTGCCTTGTGGGTCAGACCTTTAAGTCAAAGACTCCGAATGTGGTCCCCTAAGAAAACCACCTACTTCAGTTTGGGCACCTGGGCAGTATCATAGCCCTCACATAAATCAAATGAGATTTGTGTGGTGCATATATATCTGGTGCTTCCCTGTACCAATATTTATGTGTTTAAGTAAATAAATAATAAATAATATAACCATCTTATTACTTATAATTAACACAGAATATTGTTTCATTGACATTACAATCGCATCTTTTTTTGATATGGTATACTAAACACATAACTCCGCCTGTAGCTCTTCTAGAGTTACTGCTGGTCCCAAGCCCGGGTAAAGGAGGAGGGTTGGGCATGGGGTAAAAAAGCTAACTCGCTAAAAAAACGCTAACCAGAAAATACTAAACACATAATTTTAGTCTATGTAACATGAAGTAGTAAAAAGGATTACAAAATGGTGGCATATATATATCAATCATCTTACTTTTATTTGTCCACTTTTATTAGCTAACATGTTAGCCGGTTTTATATCACGATGAATCATATTCATATCGAATCGTAAATAATATAATGCTGAAACGATTGAAAATGTTATATGCTTTAAAACATTTTCAGGAATGTATTCATTAACTGCCTTTACCTGTAAAATAATTTAAAGTCAAAATGAGAGTACATAGGATAACAAAGAACAAATAACATCATGAACCTATTGGTATAACAAATACTTTTATTGATTCGCTTAGAAAAAGGACCTCCCTATTTAAACTTAGGGAAATTTATATAACCAGAATATTTGACTAACTAGCTCTCATTTTACACTTACTGAACTACGAATAAAGTTACTCACGTTGATAGAATTCACTATCAGCAACAAGTTACTGTGGGAGAGAACAAACCAGATTCCAGCGGAGGAAGAAATCAGGAAGAAGCGCTGGAAGTGGATTGGGCACACTTTGAGGAAATCACCCAATTGTGTCACAAGACAAGCCCTCACATGGAATCCTGAAGGTCGAAGGAGAAGAGGAAGACCAAAGAACACATTACGCCGAGAAATAGAGACAAACATGAGAAGAATGAACAAGAACTGGAAAGAACTAGAAAAGAAGGCCCAGGACAGAGTGGGTTGGAGAAAGCTGGTCGGCGGCCTATGCTCCATTGGGAGTAACAGGCGAAAGTAAGTAAGTAAGTACGTTGATAGAATTTAATAATTTAAAATTTCATGAGATTTCGTAGTTTATATATATATATATATCCAAGTTTATATGGACATTCATCTAAATCCGGACAACCAGCTTAAAAGAAATTCGGAATTAAGTATCTAGACGAAATTATATTTAAAACAATATCAGTGACTGCAATTTATGTCATCCCAACGTTTCACAGAGTAAGCCAATCCGAGATTCTTTATGGAAATAACCAAAATTATCAAACGTAGATAAAGTCTGAAAGGAAACCTATACTAAACTGTTGCTTTATCATGTTAGTGTATAGTACGATGTACTACTACTTGATGTAAAATGTGATGAAAATTCGAAATGTATAATGTTTTATGTGTATTTATATACTAATGTTATTGAAAATGTTCGGTTAAATTCAGTGAAAAATGTTCAGATCAGATATCAGGGAGAAACTTTGGAATTATTTCAATTTAAATTACTGAGGAGGTTATTTCAAATACAACTTTTACTTACCATACAAGTTTCTTTAGAAAATTAAGACCAGTCCTATTTGTATTTTTTACCAAAAAAAGTCGGTTTCTTCAACTGTAGAAGCCCTTATGACGACTAACAAAAACTCATCACTCAAGATATATTTTAGGACATTTATGACACATAAGCTGAATACTTATAACTTCTTATAGTGAGCGACACTTTACAAGTTTTCAAACAATTGCATTAAAACACGTGTAGAATAAAGTAGATAGGGTGGGTTCTGTAAATAACACATTGACTAGTGAAATGTCAGTCTTATGTTCCTTAAAGATCCTTTCGATGAACTAGTTAACACTTTAAAACAAACAGTTTGGTTTACTGCCGATAAAGAGTAGTACTTATATCATTAAGAAATGTTTTACCAAGTTACCTCAAACGAACTGCCAATAAGATTAGACGCTTGTTAATACAAGAGGTAACTTCGTTTATGAAACATTTAGCAGCCTCTACACACATAACTTTTACATACTACTTAGAATTACTGATTGCACAACATTACGTCTACAGTGGAAGCTTACTTTATTTAGAAGTACATCTAAAGAGATATCCATAAGTTCTAATAAAATCCAAACAGAGTCTACATGAGTGAAAGCACAATAAGATCGTAATAAAAATGGATGTGGATGCAATTTTCCTATTTCCAAATCTGCTATCATATCTGGATTACGTGGGTCCAAATTACAAAATGGTATTTTTTTAACTGCAAATGATTCTTTTGTTGATTTTAAACGCATCTTGGAAACTTGTCCAAAAAAACCTTCACCTGATAAAACAATAAAATGAAAAATATCCATATATAAAACAACTGGAAAATAAATAATGACATTTCAATTCATATTAGTCGTAAAGACAACTGTGTTAACTATAATAAACAATAACAAAAAGAGAATGTAAATATTTTTCAAAGTTTTACTAGTCAGCAGGTGATAAATTTGTCATTTGTGAGAAAACCCTGAAGATTGATGACAAGGCAATATACATAAGGTTAAGGTTAGTAATCTGTTAAAATACATCGTGTAAACATTCCTTGATGTAACTTGAGGAAATTCAATGCAAGTTTATCATAAATTAAGCTTTTTCATGGTTTAAATTGAGAAATGATAGTAGTTAGACCACAACTGAAAAGCTGAAAGCATTGAATGGGCGTTTTGTGATAGTATGGGACTCCTCGTCAAAGGCTATGCACAAGCCCGCAACCGGAGATCGATGAGCGGAACACTTAGAAGCGAATCAGCTGACCTTCAGCTACTCTACAGTTACAACCTTTCCCAAATAGTCTGAATGGAACACTGAGATAAGTCTCAGAGCTCTAATTGAAGTTCCAAAAGCGATAGGTAGTCTGGAATGAGGAAGAACATCTGGTACGGATGGATTAACTTCAAATGTCTCTTAGGATGATGGTCCAATTTTAGTGATTAGGTGAACTAATATTTTAGCTAAAATCTGGGAGTTGGACGTAATCCCATCCGACTGGACACAGTTACTTATTGTCCCAATATATAAGAAAGGGTCAAAATCATTCTGTGATAACCATAGAGGGATTAGTTTGACTAACATATCATCTAAAATACTAGCCTCAATAATTATTGGACGTCTAAATAAGACTCGTCAACTGCGAACACGAGGAAATCAGTCTGGCTTCAGACCTGGTCGTGGCTGCATCGACCACATATTCACCATTTGTCAGGCTTTTGGAACACAGGCATGTTTATTGGCGTCCAATAAAGATAGTGTTTCTTGGCTTAAAAGCAGCATTTGAGTCTGTAGACCGAGTGGTTCTGTTGCAGTGTCTGTCATTGAAAAGTGTACCTCAGAAGTATATAAACTTTGTGAAGGCTCTTTACTCGAACACTACCAGTCGAGTGATAGCTTATGGCGAACTGTCATCTGATTTTACAACCTCAAGTGGTGTCTGACAAGGCTGTCCACTATCTGATTTTTGTTCAATTTCATCATAAACCTACTGCTTGAAATAACGCTGTCGTCGACTGAATTTTCGGGCATTGATCTTCTACCAGGAGGTCCAATTATCAACTGAGAATACTCAGGTGACATAGTCCTGTTTGGTGAAGATGCTGACAAAATGCAGAGTCTTCTGTTGGCACTAAGTAACAATCCAAGGATATTTGGAATGCGTTTCTTCTCATCTAAATGTAAGTTGTTGCTCCAGGACTGGCCTGCGTCAACACCTTAACTGAGGATAGGGAGTGAAGTAGTCGAACGAATCGACAACTTCACTTATCTTGGAAGTCTGACCAGCCCTAATGGGATGGTGTCTGACGAAATCTCAACACGGATTTAGAAAGCTCGTCTGGCTTTTGTCAAGTTACGTCACCTTTGGCGAAGATGAGACATCTGTCTATCAATTAAAGGTGGAGTATCAGTTCGGTCAGTTACAACGTAGAACTTCGTACGTACGTACATCAGTTCGAGTTGCCATACCACATTAGTACAGAGATGAAGTTGTCGATTCAAATCCCATATTAGTAGAAGTAGTAAAAGTATAAGTATTATATGAAAGATAAGGGTTTGAAGATGCTATTGAAGGAGTATAATACGGTGAAATAAATTTGGAAATAGAAAAAGGATATGAACATGAAGAATTCAGAAGATTAGAATTTGGCAGAACATAAAGAGTGGATGCACCTTCGCCATTGCAAACGATTTTGAGCCATGTCATTCAAGGTCTCTAACCATCGGTTGCTATGATCTCGCGAATCCCAACTAAGTAGTCTACACCTACCAACACGGCCCAGTCCACTTGTCAGTGACTTCATGGATTTATGCCACGTTTTGGTCTGGCCACCCCTAGCTTTCTTCCAACCTGCTCCTACACCATAAAGCATTGCACGTCGGAGCAGTCGGTGGTTGGGCATACGTAACACGTGTCCCAACCATCTCAACTGATGAAGTTTCACTACTTCATCAATCGATTTGCCATCCTTACCTAGTACCCGTTTCCTAACAGCTGCATTACTTATCCGGTGGTCCCAGGATATACGAACAATGCGTCAAAGACACCTATGATTGAATACTAGTAGCCTACGAATATCCTCTACTCTTATCGGCCATGTTTCACTTCCATAAGGTATGACGGAACGAACTGCTGCACAGTAAACCCGTCCTTTGGTTGCTAGACGGATATCTCGCCTACGCCATAAATGACGCAAGTTGGCGAAAGCTAGACGAACCTTCGGTATCCGTACTGAGATTTCGTCACACATCAGACCACGAAGGCTGATCGGACTCCCAAGATAAGTGAAGCTGTCAACGCGCTCAACTACTTCACTCCCTATCATTAGTTCAGGTGTCAATGCAACCCAATCCTGAAGTAACATTTTGCACTTCGAGGGAGAGAATCGCATCCAGAACATGCCTGCATTGTTGCTTATAGTGGTCAGAAGACTCTGCATTTTGTCAGCGTCTTCACCGAATAAAACTATGTCGTCGGTGTATTCTAAGTCAACAAGTGAATCTCCCGGTAAAAGTTCAACTCCAGGAGATTGAGATGATGAAAGTGTTATCTCTCTAAAAGCATGTCAACGACAAAGTTAAACAAGAATGGGGAGAGTGGACAGCACTGACGAACGCCACTTGAGGTAATCAGTTCCAATGACAGTTCGCCATAGGCTCTAACTCGACCAGTTGTGTTCGAGTAGAAAGCCTTTATGAGGTTAATGTACTTCTTTGGTACTCCTTTCACTGACAAATACTGCCATAGAACCTCACGATCAACGGAGTCAAATGCCGTCTTAAGGTCAAGAAATACTACTATTGTGGGATGTCTGAATTTGTGTCTATGTTCTAGAACCTGACGTAGGGTGAATATCTGGTCTATGCAACCACGTCCAGGTCGAAAACCAACCTGGTTTTCTCTAGTCTGCTCTTCACGTGCTTTGGTTAGGCGACCTAGTATTATTGAAGCTAATATTTTAGACACTATATTAGTCAAACTGATCCCTCTGTGATTGTCACAGGAGGACTTTTGTCCTTTCTTATAGACTGGCACAATCAGTGATTGGGACCAGTCAGATGGAATTACGTCCAGTTCCCAGATTCTACCTAAGACCTCAGTTCGTGTGTTGTGGGCCGCAACAATGGCGAGTGCGGTAGGCAAGAAACTTGTTATTGTTGGAGATGGTGCATGCGGGAAAAAATGTTTACTTATTGTATTCAACAAAGACCAGTTTCCCAAGGTATACGTTCCTACTGTATTCGAAAACTATGTTGCGGATATCGAAGTTGATAACAGACAAGTTGAATTAGCTCTCTGGGACACTACTGGCCAAGAAGATTATGATAGGCTACGGCCACTTCCTTATCCGGATACGGATGTAGTTCTGTTATGTTATAGTATTGACTCTCCTGACAGTTTTGAAAACATTCCTGAGAAATGGTTACCAGAAATCCGTCCTTTTTGTCCTGATGTTCCCATTATCTTAGTTGGAAACAAAAAAGACTTACGACATGACGAGGCTACAAAGAATGAGCTACACAGAACCAAACAACTTCCTGTCATTTTTAATGAGGGTAAAGAGATGGCTGAAAATATTGATGCTTATGCCTTCTTTGAGTGTTCAGCTAAGACCAAGGAAGGAGTCAGCGATGTTTTCGTAGCAGCTACTCGAGCCGCCTTGAATTCAGCGAAGAAGAGGAGGAGGTGTGATTTAATTTGATCTCCACTGTTCTCTAAATTGTCTAAAGGTGGAGTATACTGTGCAGCAGTTCGTTCTGTTTCACTTTAAGGCTGCGAAACGTGCCCACTAAGAGTAGGAGATATTCGTAAATTCGTAGTATTTGACCGCAGATGCCTTAGAATGATTGCTCACATCTGCTGGGATCACCGGGTAAGTAATAGTGAGGTTAGACGCAGAGTATTAGAGAATGATGGTAAATCAGTTGACGATGTTGTGAATCTTCATCGAATGAAATAGTTTAGTCATGTATTACGTATGCCTGAACACCGATTACCACGACGCACTATGCTGACTAGTTTTAGGGATGGTTGAAGGAGAGTGACAGGACTCAGAATGGATCACAATGGCTTAGGTGTATACACTCTTTGTCTTCTCTTAAACAGTGAGATTAAAAGTGCTCCATGTCTGTCCTTCTTCCTGTACTATATCCTTATACACAATCTTTCTTTTCTATATTACCACCACCAAATTAGCTACTTCTATGAATTTGGTGTTCATCTTATTGTGCTATTGAGGCATGCCAATTTGGACTGATGCATATATGTGCCTGGTCCTACGTCGCAGCTGACTGACTGACTGAGATAAGAGTGCTGTCTTTTCCCGAGATTGCCTCAATTACATTTGACTTCCTAATTCCGGATTCTTTAATTAGTTTGAAAGGCTATCTTGTATTCCCGACCGTTGCTGCTACGTTGACGTGGTGGCGAAGCTTCTCTATCGTAATGAATTAATCGAGCTATACTGACCGGAACATCCATTCCTCAAGGTCCTAGCATGTCAGACAGGTCGATCGAAGAGTAGTGAGACTAAAGGCAGCACACTTAAGGTCTGAGGGTGAAGTTGTACTTCTGACTCTACAGATGTGTGACGGCAGTGAAGTGTTTCCCTCAGACAACCAGCCTTCCCACAAAGGAAAGGTGGTGCAAAAAAGCTCGAACCTAAAGATGCATACCTCACCTCATCCCACGGACTAACGTCTCTGAAGGTAAGGTCTCAACAAGTACAATGCTGACACAAAAATTACTCACAAAAAAGTCGTGGTTGACCGACCTCAAGCACTTTTCGCTTGGGCACTGCGGTCACGCTTTCAGGTCACTAAGATTAACGCTAGCCTAGTTTCATTTTTAGGTACCTCTAGAGGAACAATTCCGCGGTGTGGACAACCGGGAAATGATAACCACCCTCAAGACCACTGTATTCCTAATCAAATGCGTCCGACTACAATACCAGTCCAAATGTGATTAAAAATGAGACTAAATAGTGAGGATATTTTACAAATAAGTTTTTCCCTAATTTAATTTTATTTATTTCTGGTCAAGGATGCATTGATCATATCTTCACCCTCCGCCAAATGTTGAAACGCCGTCATATTTATCACAGGCCAATAGTCATAATGTTTCTTGACATCACGGCCGCCTTTGATTCGTTGTAAAGGACTTTTCTTTGGGATTGTCTATTGAAGAAGGGTGTGCCTGAGAAGTTCATTAACATCTTAAAGGCCCTGTATACGAACACCTCAGGCAGAGTGAGGGCATACAACCACCTTTCTCCCTTGTTCCAGTCGAGCAGTGGGGTTAGGCAGGGTTGCCCAATCTCACCATTCCTCTTCAACTTTGCCATCGACGACATTCTGGAAACAGCTCTGATGGATGTAAGTAATGGCGGTGTGGATATGTTGCCTGGAGAACGACTTCTCGACCTCGAGTATGCGGATGATATTGTCTTACTGTGCGATAATCCTCAAGCCATGCAATCCGCACTTAATCAGTTGGCAATCAGTGTCCGCAGGTACGGCATGTGCTTTGCACCCTCCAAGTGCAAAGTACTCCTACAAGACTGGCAGGATTCTCATCCTGTACTCACCCTGGATGGTGAGCAGATTGAAGTAGTTGAGAAGTTCGTGTATCTAGATAGCTACAAAAGTGCTGGTGGTGGCGTGAGTGATGAGATTGATGCACGTATAAGGAAAGCCAGTGCGGCTTATGCCAATCTGGGCCATCTTTGGCGCCTTCGTGATGTTAGTCTGGCTGTAAAAGGTCGGATCTACAACGCGTCGGTGAAAGCAGTTTTGCTCTATGCTTGTGAAATCTGGCCTCTCCGAGTTCAGGATGTTAGACGTCTCGCTGTGTTTGATCATCGTTGTCTCCGAAGGATTGCTGACATACAGTGGCAACACCCAAAGAATTCCTTGGCGTGCATTATATGCCGACGCTGGGACTGGTTGGAAAAAGCGGAGAGGTGGTCAGTGTATGACATGGTGTCGTGGCATGAAAGAAAGCTGCAAAGAGTTGGTTTCTTTTGGTCCTTCACGACTCCCTGGTTGGGTAGGGTCCGAGAGATGGTGCAACAGTGACTAGAGACGTTATCAGATATAGGTCAGAATAGAAGCCAGTGGCGACCCTGCAGTAACCTTCTTTTACTTTCTTTATGAAGATTGGTTATAACTTTCTTAACTGAAAGAGTCTTCTGGTTGTGCCTTTCAGTTTCCCCCATCATTACTCTTATTTTTTATATATGCTTCTTGCCCCTTTCCTCTTCCCATTCTCATGGTTTTGTGTGGCGTATATATAACTGGTGCCCCTTTGTACCAATATGTATGTTTAAATAAATAAATAAATCCCAAATTTAAACTATTTAGCAAACAAGTTCGGAAAATTTAGGATAAATAGTACAGGCGTATGTAAGTAAGAGGATGAATCATGTATTAAAAATGCATACTATAACAAAAGCGAGAAAATATCAAAAAGAACTAGAACATTAAAAAATGGTATAGTTAATTTTAGAATGACTAGAAACACTTGTAATATACTTTATAAGCGCCAACCAACAAGAACCTGAAACTCTTCAAAGTGGCCTACTTCGTTTCTCTAGTGCGCCATGCGAAACCTGAAGAGAGGTTACAATCTAGTTGTTTTACAATGAACCAGTGGTTTGATGGCTTTCATAATTCAGTATAAGCAAGAAAAAAATGACATCCCTTACGAATTCTTTAGTGATTGTTTTAATTGGGTATACAAAATAGAACTTTATCTTCTAACAGTACTTGATTGACATGAAATATCAATTTAACTTCTAGTTTCCAACTGGTTGACTTTATTATCCCTTTTAAATCTTTCGGATCAGTATATTCAGTGAAAATACTGGCCAATATAAAGTCAAATGGATTGAACACCACATTAAAATATAAAAGGATGCAAATTGATTTAAAGAACTATTAACTTACCAAGAATACATGTATCCTCGAAATCATCACCTGTAACAGTTATGGGGGTATCGTTAATATCCAAGATTGCACTTGTAGATAAATTGGGAACAGGAGTTAGGTGACAACGAGGAGAAGTGACTCTATCTAACTTCAGCCTTTGCTCATTAGGAAGGGCGAGAAACCGATGTCTTATGGACTGTTCCGACATATGCAGTTATTCTATTTAAACTCTGAAACAAAAAATAGTGGTAACTATGTACAAACATCGACAAAAAACCAAACTATATTCAGATATAGATCTACTAACCAATATTTCCAACTAAAGCTATGAAATCTACGAGAAACAAGCCGTGATATGATAGAACTGCGAGGATAGAATATTTTTTAAAGTGTTAGTGCAAAAAGTCATGTGTATCATTACACAGAAACACTTGTCTAAACATTTTGCTTAATATTTTTAAAACTCAATCCGGGATACAATCTAGATGAACAGAGAAAAATTACCCTGTATGAACGTGTGTTAATCCAAGTTGTTGTAATCTAGGTTAGCATAACAAAGTGGAAACAACATGGAAAATCAAGAAGTGAAAGCAATGACATCAAAAGTAATGTACAACTTCTAGAATTACGCAACCCATACGTTGAAGCTAGAGTTAGTTGGTATGAGTAAAAAATGTACCAACCATCTTGACCAACAAAAATTCATAATTTTACCAAGTAATTCACTAATTTGACTTAGCAAATATTGGATTATATGATTGCAACTATACTAATGCAACTAAAAAGCACTTTAGTATTATTTGCATTTAGACAATGCATCGGAAAAGTTGTAAGAAAAAGTAAAACCCAATCTTCCTATATCGGAGAAAATTTTGTCTGTTATGGGTGAATTCTGGAGAAGCCGTAATAGAAAACTCTGGAGATATTTTAGGGTAATGGCACAAGAACCCCGAAATTTCTCCAGGTCTGAGGAAAATCCTCAACTTTTTTGAAAATTTTTAAGTCTTCCTCAGTATTTTTTAAAAATCTTATAACACCTTGAAGAACACCCTAAAATTTCCCAAAGTTTCTCCATAACAGGGAGATTGAGGAGTGGGAAAGTGGTAATCATAAACAGGGCATCGTGAAGAAATTCAAAACGTTTTATCGGTTAATTATCGAGGCACCAAACATGCTCATTCAATTTTCGTAGACTACAAATAAAACATATGAGAATGAAAGCTGTCTTTAAAGACTGATTCAAATAAACAACATTCTCCACCACTCCTCTACTGAAATCACAAAATCTTCTACCTTTGATGATAATTTGCACACATTTTCCAATAGGTTAATGAACCACAAATATATTCACAAATAGAATATTCTTACATAAAGAAGGTACTGAACACATGCGAGCACCACACGATACCGCTTTATAACAATCATACCGCTTCATTTGACCTCAAATCTAAACCTAAACAGCAGTTATTTCAAACAAGACACTGTCAAACTTTGTTGGTCAGAGGTAGTTGACTGTTTGCTTTCTCATTTCTGATTCTTCTTTGAACCTAATTATTCTCTATTTTCGAGAGGTACAAATTATAGTTAACTACAGTGAATACATTTAGGTGTTAAACTATAAACGTTTTAAATACGCTATATCACTTTGATTGCATTTTCCCTTCTGGAATCTGCCTGTGTATATATTAAATGGTTCAAATGGTTCAAATGGTTGAGGACGGAATAGAAGAAGCTTTCGCTTAACGGGCTTCCGTGTCTGGTAGCAGTGGATCACCAATACCTCCAGGCAAGAACCTAGGTATATGAACGATAATAGAGGGAAAAAAGAATATGGTAAATCATAATAATATGTTATCCTTAGTCCTTAAGAATAAGTCAAGTTTCCTCTTAAAGGACTCCTGGGAGGTCGCTTGAACTAGCTCAGTCGGCAGCGAATTCCAGTATTTGACAACTCTAACGGAGTAGAAGTTGTGTCTGCAGTCTGTTCTGCTATGTAGGGTCTCCAATTTCTGGGTGTTACCTCTGAGGTTAGTGTTATGACTAAGCTTAAGAAGTTGTTTAAGGGGATGGCCAGAAGTATTAAGGACACTATAAGTCATAAGAAGATCACCTCTAAGACACCTGTACTCTAACGGGTAAAGGTTAAGTGATTGGAGGCGCTCATGGTAAGGTTTGAATTTGAGTCCCCGAACTGATTTCGTGGCTCGACGTTGTATACGATCCAGAGTGTCCTTATCCTTTTGGAGGGAGGGAGGAAATACTATGTTTCCATACTCTAAATGGGGACGAATAAAACTGTTGAAGATTATGTGGAAAGTTCTACCGTCAAACCGGCCAGAAATGCGCTTCAATGTTGCCAGTGCAAGGTTTGCTTGAAAGGCGTTTCTGTCACAGTTCGTATACGACTTCAGGTCGTAGGGTACCAACACTCCTAAATCTTTTTCGACTTGGGAAACTTCTAGAGGGGAGTTACCTAAGTTATAACTATAGTCTGCAACGTGTCTCAGATGGACTACCTTGCACTTTGAAGTGTTGAATGTAAGTCCGTTGTCGTCTGCCCAACTTTGAAGTTGAGTCAGATCCTCCTGTCGAACTAGTACATCCTTATGGTTACGTATCTCTCTCCAAAATCTCACATCAGCAAAAAGCAATAAGTTAGATGAAACTTGTTGATGAAGATCGTTAATATAAATCAAGAAGAGAAGAGGTCCTAGTATTGAACCCTGGGGGACCCCACTGGGACATTCCATAGCCTGAGAGAGAGTGAAGTTAACCCTGACCTTAAAGTGTCGGTTTTCTAAATATGAAGAGAGCCAATCAATCAAAGGAGGTTTTATACTCAATCGTCCAAGCTTCTTGATAAGACATGCATGGTTGACCCTATCAAAAGCTTTTGAGAAATCCAGGTAAATGACGTCAACCTTCCCCTTGCGATCAAGGATGGTTGTCCATCTATCCACCGCAGTCAGCAGGTTGGTCATACAAGAATGACCTTTTCTGAAACCATGCTGTTGAGGTGAGAAGAACTTTGAGGATGATAAGTATTCTTGCATACCGTCGTATATTAGAGATTCCATAATTTTGGAAGGTATGGAGAGAAGGGCCACTGATCGGTAGCTTGAGGGTACACTGCGTCGACCTCCTTCGAAAATTGGTGTGATGTGGGCCAGCTTCCAAATTTCCGGTAGTTTGCCTCTGCTTAGCGTGTGTGCAAACATCACGCTAAGTGGTGTCGCCAGGATTGAAGCTGCTTCCCTCAATACAGCGGAATGAACCATATCCGGACCAGGAGAAGTGTCTTTTCTTATGTGCTGCAGTTTACGGAGCACCAGGTCAGCACTCAGGTTTACTTCGGAAAGTCCTGTAGAGGTGCGGGTGAAGCTTTCGTCAGTATGGTTGATGTGGGTCAGCTGGAATGTCCTGGAGTATTGTTCAGCCAAAAGGTTAGCGGCATGACAGTCGTTATTGGTCGGGCCATTAGGACTAAGTAGTTGGGAAACTCCAGTTTTGCCTTGTCGAAGAGAAGCTGCGTAACGGAATAAGTTCTTCGGATTGGAGACAAATTTATCGATAAGCTTGGTCTGGAACTGAAGCCTGTCTTCTCTTATCGCCTTTGTGCATATGTTCCTTATATGTTTGTATTGCCTGTACGCGCCGTTGGTATCAATTCGTTTATATTCAGCCCAATAGTGCCTTTTGCGGTTTAGCAAATGACGAATGCGGTTCTTGATGATTGGGGGTTGCTTGTAGCTTTTTGGGACCATTTTAGGAACTGAATGCTCAGTAGCACATAAGATCGTGTGTAGTAAAAAATCCCAATGAGCATCCACTTCAATTTGAGGTCGAACATCCCAATCCACCTGTTGTAGATAGTCCTGTAAAGCCAACACATTCAACCGTTTTAAGTTCCAGCGCTTGTTGCTAGTAGGATATCGTAGCTCCGTTTTGCTGACAAAGCTGACTGATAAGACGGCGTGATCACTTTTCCCCAGCGAAGCCAGGATTGAGAGGTCGTCAACTAGGAATTCTTCATTTGTGAATACCCAGTCTAAGCGCGACGTCGTCTGACTGTTTCTCCAACGGGTTTCCGACTTCACATTTTCGAATAATCCCAGGTCGCCGATAAGGTTGAAGAACAGAGCTTCAGTAGAGTTGGCACCACCAATGTATGTATGTTCCACGAAGTTGATTCTAGGGAGATTGAAATCCCCTAGAATCAGGATATGAGAGAATCCGAGACGCGTAGAGCGAGTTAATCCTTCCAGCAGACGTTTGTCATACTCGATGTAGGCAGTGGGATTCCTGTAAATGACCCCAACTAGACACCTCAAGGTTGTAGACAATCTTACTGAGCACCGTGCTGACTCATCAAGATTGAGAAACTCTTGGTTGAGAAGTTGGTGCGCATCCAGGCATGACCGTATGTATAATGCTACTCCACCCCCCATTCCTGTTTTTCTGTCGCTGCGAAATAAAGACATCCCAGTTATTGCTAACTCCTGGTTCATAAACTGAGACGTTATCCAAGTTTCGGATATTCCTATCAGATGAGCATCATTAGCGTTGCTAAGCTCACGTAGCTCATCCATTTTGTTTGGCAAGTTCGCGGCGTTCGTGTCTAGGCAGTTTATGCTTTCAATTTGGAACGCATGAGCTTCTTCCTGTTTGTCTATATGAGCCGTGCGTGAGTGGACAGGTAGCCTACCTATACGATGTTTACCGAGTTGGTAGTCACTGTTCATTTCCCCTTTTTCTAATGATCAAGACAGTCCACGAGTGGAATTTTCAGCTTCAGCTTTCCCTTGTGTTTGATCCTGCTGTCATGGGGCCTATCCGGATGCATATGGATTCCAGTTGGCAACTGACGTCTATTAGCGCGAAATGCTTCCAGAGTTGCAGCCGCCATGTGGGAGGAGGGGAAGATTATCTTGAATAGCTGAGGTCTAGAGTATCCGTCTTTCTTGGCTAGTCGCATCACCTGTTGGGTCAGTATTTTTTTAAGTTTTAAGGAATGTAATGAATTTCCATTCCCGAATATCAGAGTTTGCTTGAGTTGGGTCCATATTTTCCGGCACACCTTGCACAATGATATTTCGTCTCGGGTGATTTTGGTGGTTAGATTCATTCCCCCAAGTGAGCCATGTGACCGTCAAAGGCTCTATTCTAGGGAGTTCAAGCCTCTTGTTCAATTCTCCCTAGAGCATCCTATCATTTTTGTCCTGCATACTGAGAGGAAGGTCGGGGTTGTCAATAAGGTTCATGATTATGACAGAGTCGTCACGAACCGTAATTGATTTCCTAGGCTTTCCAGGGCGTCTAGGTTTGGTACCTTGTTGTTTGGATGTCGAGGCGCGTTTTCGTTTCCTGGGCTCAGTGATGACCGGGCGGACAGTCTTGGGGGTAGACTGTGCAGCCAAAGCATCAACTGATTTCCGCACGATACTTGGGATGTTCGATTTCGGCGGGGACGCTTGGGCTTCATTACTCCTGTTAACGTGAGTCCATCCACCTACAGGATTTTCGGGAACCACTGTCTCATTCAAGGACTGTTCCCTGGAGGACCCAAGTTTACTGTGGGAGTCGATGACAGTCAATGTTAAGATGGTGCTGAGTTTCAGCACATCATCACTCGTGCTGTTAACAGCACCGTCGATAACCGACCTGTCAGTATCCTTTTTCTTGTTTGCCCTATGCGTTCCAGCTTTGTTACCCGTCATGATGCTATCATTTACCGAATTCTTGGACAACTTATCTCTCAGACCTGTCAGTAAAGTAATGATGGTACCCAACATAACTACCGTATCAGTGTTGCAGGTAACACATACCCACCTACGATCAGACTTGCTGAGTCTGCTACAGGCTGCTGCTGTTAGATCTGTACATGCCTCATGGAACCAACCTTTACAGTTGTCACATTGCATGCCAGATGTAACGGCAAAACGGCAACCAGGTCTTTTGCATGAATTTTTCATGGCTAGTGATTTAGACTGTCTTAAAAATACAAGCAGTAAATTTAGGACCGTTAAAAAAACACACAGTAAACAAAAACTGGCAAAAATATATAAAAACAGTTAACGATAAGCTAAAGCTAGCCTTTACGTGAAAACTATAAAAAAACCGATAGTGAGCTGAGGCAAAACCACAGTTAACTATTAATTTGAATGAAACACAAAAAAGAAGTAATCTACCGAACGTATAGCTCAGAATAGATTCTTTAGATCGGAAATGGTACTTTTGTTGCGTAAGAACACAGCAAAAGTTTGAGAAATGTAAATCACGTTAGGATTAAACTTCCCGTTTGAAAAGCGCGCGCAATTCAACCTTTTTAAGTATAGGAAACTTCTAACCAAGGGAAAAATTATCTGTTGCGCCTAATCATGGCTCCAAATGAATTCTCTGATATGTTCTTTGATTAGACTCATGAATACATCGCGTAATACACGAGCAATTCTGTGATGGGGAA